ATGGCACAGCTGCAGCCGCCAGAATCAATTTGACTAATTTCTTGAAGCAGAAGAAACGCAGGTTGTTGGTTTATGGATTGAGCAAAATAAGCAAACGTTAGCTGCATCTCAGGGGTCATAACACACCGTACTGATGAGTACATCACCTTTGCAGAAAACAATTAATGCCTGCAGAAGTCCTTCCAACTCTGTCAATGCAATACACTCTCCAACTTTGCCGGTTCCCTCCGGTTTCGCAGTTAACCCAGCTTCAGGACATGCAGAAGGTGTTCCTGCATCTGGCCCTGCATTTTTCCAAAAGCCTGCCAAATGCAGCCTGCAGAACCCTTAGTGAGGCAGACAGCTCTTTCCTGCAGTTCAGGCTCATGATTTTTTTTGCTAGTCCAACCCAAATCACTTAGTTTAACACTAAGCAATCAAATTGTTCCACCGCATCAGCCCCCCAGAACAAGCAGCAGTCTCCTGAGCAGACATACTATGGCAACTGACCCTGCAGAGCTGCTTCCACTATCTCCCCACCCTTCCTGGGAAACAACATCACATCACCAGAGAACAGCTGCCTGGAAGAAAACAGGGCAGATAGGAACAAGCTGGAGTCAGACAGAAGCAAGAATAACGAAAAGCAAAAGACCTCAATTTGATTTTCCTAAAATCTAGAATTTTTGCTCAGGGAAGACCACTTCCATCACAGCTAATTCAAGCTTGTGTTTCGCTTCTCAGATCAGTGCCAGCTAATATAAATGCACAAGACAGGGGAAGAAAGACACAGAAGAGATCAGAATCACGATCTGAAATGGAGAAGAGGGTGTTAAAAAATGCCATAAATAGGTGCCTCCTCCTACCACTCCTGAGCCTGGGGTCTCCTTCTGCCTGGTCTCTAGAGCCCTGAGAGTCTCCATCTCAGACCAATAGACAGGGCTGCTGCCTTCTCATCTGAAGACTCCACCCAGCTCTGCCTGCATCCCAAAGATGCACACATACACGCAAGACACAGGTACAGCCAGCCATAGAGACTGTTACAGACAAAACTCTTCTTTCACACACTCCCATGCCAACATCCTCATCCAGACTTGAGGTCTCCTACTCACACCCCAGCTGCTGGCCCTGTGCTCACTCTCAAACTCTCACCTGCACTTAATGAGTGCACAGTTACACTTAACGATTGCACCACCCACCTGTGAATGCACACACAGAGCGAGGTTATGCAAAAGAGTAGTTAAGAACTCCTGATTTGTTTTTGAAAATAAATTTAAAAAAAAAACAAACAACAAAACATAAACAAACAAGTAATGAATACGAAAGAAGCCCAAACAAAACCTCAAGCAGACCAATCCATCGCCTTTTTCCTAGAAACAAACAGTGGGACTCTCTTGTTCCATTCCAGAAGACCCTCAGTGCACCAGCAAACGCTGCAGCAGGATTCCTGGGCTACCAGCATTCCATTAACCGTAGCTCATAACGGTTTGATCGACAGCTCCTACTCAGCAGTGTTCCAGCACAGCACTCATGGTAAATCGTAACACGCCACCCGCAATGCAGTGAGGCACAAGGAGCGTCACTAATACCATCTCTTCATCGCTCCCCGGAAAGGACCAAGTGGGTTCTTACCACCTGTCCTCAACTACCGCTTCAGCTGTAAGTGCTTGAATCCTTTTGTTCTCCATCTTTCAATCCTTCCACTCGCTGCCTTACTCCCAGTAGTACTAATGGGGCCCTGCTTCCCTTAGAGCCCCGCGGGAGCGAAGTACCTCCAGCAGCTCCGCAACTGGGGGACGCTCCCCCGATCCCCTTCAAATTCCCCCGCCCGCAGCTCCCGTTACCTTTGATCCATTTGAAGCACCACGTTGCCGGGGGCCGGCCGCGCAAACCCCTCACTCGCGGCCAGCCGAGCCCCTCATGGCGCAAACAGCCCGCCGCGCCGTCCAGCCACATCTTCTCTCCTCACAGCACCAACGGTCACCGCGCGGCCTCTGGAGGCGCGAGGTAGTCCGGAAGCGCGAGGCAGCCCGCAGGCGCGCGGCGGGCGCTGCTTTGCCGCTTGCGGGAGCGCGCGAAGAGAGGGCGGGAACGGCGTCCCGTCGGAGCAGCGGCTCGAGGCGGACCCGGTGCTTCATCGGGAGGGCTGAACTGCTCCACGCACGGCGGGACCCGCTAGCTGAGAGCATGTATTCACGCAACACTGGAAGATCTTGCTCTGCTATGAGTAAAACGTGATGTTTTGTCGATAACGGGACTCGACGAGCTCTGACAGAACCGACTGCCCGCAATGGCAGCAGGTATGTGGTGCGAGGATATGGAATGGCTGAGTGCACCCAGCGCTGCATCCCAACAGTGCAAACCAACACGAGCCAGTAGATGACAAGCGATTTTATTTTGCAAAACAATCACTATACAGCAACAAATACAATTGCAAATCGGATTGAAAAACATGAACTACCTACCACCAGCCATTCAAGAAATGCCTCTTTTTATGGTAACAGGCTCTAGAATTATCAGAAAAAACACAGGTTTGTAACAGCAGACTGCATTCCTTGAAATCCCAGCATACAGCATGTTCATTCGTTGGCTTTTTCTCTTTGCTAAAGTTGAAGTGGCTTTTATATGCTTGATTTTTCCAAGTGTGAAACTCATTTACTTTCCTGCAGTGGGAATTGAGTTGCAGCGGGAATTGCTTTAGCGGTCTGACGAGCAATGAACTCTACACACCTAGGCTAGACTACCTGCTTCGGCTCTCATAGCGAACGTCATCAACTCTTCAAGGCATTTGCCTTTGAAGGGACATGAGTACTTTGGGTATGGAACGGTATTTGGTCCAGCGTGGCAAAAACTGCTGCTCACGTGTGGTAGCACACACAGGCTGCCTTCAGACTCCCTTGGGTCGTGTAGATAGGCAAGCATCTATTTGTAAGCAGCCACGATGAGGTTACTACTGTACCTTAGCATAGCACTGAATGGATGATACCATTTACTGCTGTACAGTGAAAATATACATGGCCCTAACGGGCACAGAATTATCCTCATCAGTATTAGTTTTTTCCCTTATTGGTGCTGGACAGAGGTTTGCTCACTTTGGATTTCTTTCTGCTTGTGGTTACACAGAAACAGGAGTCTGCGGATGGGGCAGAAGCCCCTTTCTTTTGTCTCTATAGCGTTACAGATTATTAATTAGGGGCTCTCCCCTAGCCATCCCATCTTTTGCTGTTCCATTTATCTGGATTATCTCTGCTCTGTTACAAAGTCAGGTCTCAGACACCCACGTACCTGCTGGCTGAACATGCCTGTGGAAAAGAAACAAAGGATGCAGTTTCCAGGAAGCTGGCTCTGTCTTGTTTAAGTGGGCATTACGTATTTACAAAACAGTTTCTTCTTTTAAAAACCAACCCTCTTCTCGATCAATTAAGATTAATATGAACTTTTTCAATGAACATCTAGAGTCGTGTAACAACTTAATATTTTTTTTTTTTTTTTTTTTTTTTTTTTTTTAACAGCACAAACTCTTAATTTCTTTTACCTTCATCTAAGTCCACAGCGTTCTAGGATTCTTTCTATGGAGGGATGATTACAATTACAAAGGTCTTTGCTTGAATCAAGACAAGAAAGCTCATTTTAATGCATGAAATAAATGTCTTGGTGCGTTACACCACTCTAACTTTGTACTCGTAAGTGGATTAACTAAACATCATTACCTAGAGAATGTCAATTTTAAAAGCAGAATTAAAAAAAAAACACCTCAAGTAACACTGTTCTCACTAGCTGGTGTTCAGCTTCAGAGAAGCTGAGGTTCGGTAGTACCATAGACTCTCTCACATTTGCAAAAGGCGTAAGAAAAACCACACTGCAAGGCTCATTTACATCAATTGTGTGATCAGAGCAATGTGATGTAGATACTGTTTTAGTAGTTTTTGTTTTTTTTCTTTCTGTCGTTTGCTTTCCTGGAAGAAAAATGGGAAGAGGCTTTTAATGCATATCTCTTGACATTGTTTCCATGAGAATTCATACGATTACACAAGAGTATAACAAATACAAGGCAGAAATCAGAACCCATTTAGCATGGTTCCAAGCTCACTGTCCTTTGTATAAAACAACTGACTTACCAACAGTATTAGGAATTTTATAGTGTGATAAAGCTTTTTGCAGTGCTGAAATGTTGTGTGTTGGGCTAATGTTTCCAGTAAAATTTATAGAGTTTTCATAATTTTGTTTTGTCTTTATACTATGTGACAGCTTAGCCAAAATCCTCATTTGGTCCACTGAAGATTTACTGCCAAGTAACCGTGCATTTGCAACCTGAATCATGTGGAGTCCTGTGCAATTAATTATTAGAATCCTCCTTCACAGACATAAGAATGTTCTCTACAGTCTTTTTGGTTCAAAACCCAACACACACACACACGCACACACAGAAATGAAGGAGCAAAAAGAACAGATAAAAAGCTTCCAGCACACAATGTTAACCTAATACATGTATCAAGTATAGCTCAACTGACAGTGCAAAGTTTAGTTAAGAGATTTCAAAAGGAAAAAGATCAAACAATCTGCAAGAATGTAAACTGGTCATTTCATAATGTCTACTGTACATATAGCATCAGCAGATTATTATCTGCCGATGAGTAATACTCCCATATTACCTTCAGTGTTCTCTGAGTGTCCATAAGACAGTGTTGGAGCTCTCGCAGGTAACTCCGTTAGATTGGATGTTTCTGTATCTCTGCCCTCTTTATGCACACTTTTTCTTATACTTTTTATTAGTCAATATAATCCCACTTTGCTCAGATTTGAAGATGCCCTATTTATTAATCACTACAGCAACCCAGTGTAGGGAGCTCAATTTATTTACTCGTGTACTGTAATTTACAGGCATCTCTTGTAATGTTTATCACTGTTATCTGAGTGCCTGAGTGCATACATAAGATATCACTGAAGGAGTGGAAACGACACCTTAATACTTTTTTTGTTTCAACTTTAGCAAAAGAAAAACAAAATAAATAAATCTAACATTTGCTGTTACTACAGGAGTTTAAAAAAAAAAAAAAAAAAGCCAAACTATTTTGGATTTTAAAAAAATCCAGAATCCAAACCCAGCCATCTTTGGAGACCGTTTTACAAACTTCTGGACCCCACAGAAATCATATCTTTGTGAAGAAAGGGAGGGAGGAGGGAAGGAATCCTTTTTCTAGCATCACAGAAGAGACTTGCATCTGGCACTAAAACAGGGTCACGGCTTTTAGTTGTTACAGAAAGCAACTTCATGCTAAAAGTTTTCATCTTTTTTTTAAATGTATTTTTATGAATAGGGAAAAAGAAACCCTGCTAACATCTACTTTTACATACCTAAAATTGCAACACCAAAGGGTGCAAGAGACACAGATACTGTGAATAAAGTAGAATATTCAAGTATATGAAGAGGGCGTCTCACAAATGGCCACAGAGAAATATATATCTATAATACTGTATCAAACAGACGGAAAGGATGTGAAACTGATGGTGACTACACAGATCTAGCCGCTTAACCAACTTCCTAATCAGACACAAGTCCATTGGGGTGGAAGTGCTCGCTTTCAAAGCTTTTTTACGTCACTTCCCCAAGCATGATTCAATGTTTTCAACTAATAGCTTTAGTTATTAGTTAAATAATTTATTGGCTTTATCAGCTATACACCGACATAATTATCCAGGTCCAAAAAAATGTTAATAACTTAATTCAACTTTTGTTCTACTCATTTATACAAAATATCACTTTTTTTTTTTTTTTATTAATTAAACTTGAATTTCTCTATATGCCCCTTCCTTCTGGTAAGCAGACTCTTAATCTAACCTGTAATAACTTACAATGGGCAGTTTCTCATTTTTTTTCCCCATCTATCAACAGAACAGTGAAATGAGCAACTTGGGATATTAACAAGGCTCTTCAGAAAGAGGTGGATGGCCTTCAGGCACATGAAAGGTAAAAATGCATTTTATTGTAGTACGGTACTCCATGCAAGACAGAGCAGAGCAACAATAATTGTCCAATGTAACATACTGCAGTTGTATACCCATATAAAGCCAGTGTCTTCCTGTTGTAAATGGAGATCAGGCCAATTTCTGCATCTATTAATATTTATCTGTTTGTTTGTTTTTTAACTGTATGGTAACTACAAGTCTTGGGATGTGACTTAGTTTTAGACATGGTAAAAATGAATGTAACACCTGCTCTGAGCCCATTCCTGCCAAGAGCTCATGCCTAAATATTATTACTTCATACAACGCAAAATGAGCAGATTCATAAGCCCTGCTTGGCGAGGGCTGCTGTGACATCTTCAGCGAGGGTAGCAAGCTGTGGTGATTCAAGCAGGTTGATGCTTCCAGAGGATGAGACATTGCTGAGTCTGCGTGGAGAAGCCACGCTGGACCTGCCTGGTGACTGAGTGATGATCTCAGCGCCGTGATCGACACGGGCTTTAGCGTGCTCTCTGAAGTTGAGTTTCTGGCTGTCAATCTGTTGCAGGAAAGCAGAGTTTAACACACAAAATGTTCAACAAATTTTCTCATCATACATCTTTGCCTCTCCTTTTTTTTTTTTTTTTTAAACAGCTCTTACAAGGACTGAAGCTTCTTTAGTTCCTAGAAGGATTGAAACTGAAGTTTTTCTCTTTTTTTTTTTTACACATATATTACATCCTCTCTTAATATTTCTGTCTCTGATGGATGCCTGAACAAGCAGGAGCACAGTTCCTAGCTGTATGAAATTAGTAGGCATTTTATTATATATATAGGTGATTTGTTTCTGAAATCTGTATTTTCAAATGCTTGTGGCAATGTCTTACGTTCAAGATGTTTTCCTCCTGTTTCACAAAGCAGTCCCAATCCTCTAGGATAGCCACACTACAAGCTTACTGTATCATGCCTATGCCACGCAATGGTTCCAAACAAGGTTGTTTTTAGATGGAAAGCCAGGGCACAAACCACAGGAGGTTCCTCTACAAGGTTCACATTAATCTTAGTTGGGGATGTGAGCCTGCTCATTCCAAATTCCACAGGGAGCAAGTGGTACGTGAACGGGTTTGATGCAGAACGAAATGATACTTCCTACTCAACTCAGAGCCATCACTGAATTCACAGCTCTATAAATTCACAGAAGAATTTGGGCTGAAGGCACACTGGTAGCATTTCCCTGAGGGCCGTCCCCTTACCTTGACGTTACCACCTCCAGGTACGTGGTGAGCATTTTCAAGTGAGCCAACTTTAGCCTGAGCTTTCTCTTTGAAATCCAGTTTCACGCTCTCAATTTTCACACGTCCACCTCCTACACAAGAAAAGGAAATAAAGAGCAGAATAGCTCAGGAGAAGGTCTGACACAATGCAGATGGGCACATTCAGATTACTTCCTTTTTAGTTGAGTTCTAATGATTTTAGAGATGCGCAGAATAACACGCTGCATGTTCAGTAAAATACAAAACCTTTAACACACATATTCAAACTGTAAGCATGTGCTACAGTCTGCTTGATTTAAGAAGACATTTAAATACTTTGCTGACTTCAGCATGCATATTGGTGTTTTATCAAACTGACTTTTTGTACAAGCAGCATCCTTCCGTACAACCTTTTACCTCATCTCTAAACAAGGTGGCTCCACACATCTATGTCTGTACACATTTAAGGAACTAAGAATAGTGTTTCTATCACCCAAGTATATTTACTTTCTCTAGAACTATAGAAGAGGATTGTATCTTCCATGACTTCCCCTTCACATACAAGTCTTTCCTTTGTCCCAGATCCCAGAAACTGTAGGAAGTTCTACCGATACCTGGCTTGTGGTGAATGTTCTTGAGCGAACCACACTTGGAAGTCACATGACTCAAGTCAATCTTCTTCGTTACAATCTGTACCTGTTAAAAGCACACACACAGAAATTACAAGAGTGAAAAGAATAAAAGAAGTAAAAAGACAAGCCTTGCAGAGGAAGAGCCCAAGCCTCCAGAAACCACTGGAAAAGGAGAGACGGTTAGTTGACCATGCCACAAATGAGGAAATGCTGGATTAATATAGCAAGCTTCCTTTCCGCCTAGGGAAAATGATAGAGCTGAATTAAGCTTTTTCTATTAGGAAAATGAAGAGGAGGATGAAGCAGATCAGTTTGTGGGTTCTTTCTGAAATGTTCCTGAGCCTCCCTAAAGGGTGGATGCTCCAAACCCCTGTTTGGTTCTGTTTTTGAACGTGCATCCTGGCAAGCAGGAATATTTCCATGACTGTTTTTTTTCTTGGCCATCTGTTTCACATTTTTTGCCATCTAAACATGATAGGCACTTTTAGCTCTGCAGCTGCGCCTCAGCTGGTGCATGGTCACCAGTGGCAGCAGCACTGCAATGCTCAGCCAGGCAGCAGCACAGGCACCCTCCATCCCTTCTGTGTTGCCATGGCTGCGCTGAGCCCAGCTCGGGAACAGCTACAGCCACAATCCTGCTTTGCCCCCAGCAGGAAGCCGCAGCCCTTGCAGACCGGGCCAAGCAATGCACACAGAAGCTCCAAGCTGACTGCAATGCCTCTATTTTTTTACGTCGCCAGCAGTGACTTAAGCCAGCAGTGGTGGCCGTAGTGAATCTGGTTACTTCCCACTGCAGAGGACCTGATGTGTGCATGCCGCAAATTCATCTGAGGACCAGTCATTTCCACCAGGTGCATCACATCCTTATGCTATTCCAGTATGTCTGCTGGACCCAACTGGTGTGTGATCAAACCCTGAGCAACCTCAGCTGTTTGTACCAGAATAACGCTGTGGCATTAGCACACGTACACCAGCTGATCACACCCTCTCTCTGAACTTTCTTTATCCTTATTTTCTTTGTATATTTTTTCTCTCTGAAGAACGTAGAGAATTGAGAAGGTTAGCAGAGGATGCCCAGCTGTGAGCTGGAGTCTCTTTCTGGAAATGATTTTCTCGGGCCACTCCCAAGAAAAGCACTAAACCATTCTGGCTCACCCTTTACTGTTAGTATCCCTGGATGTTTATAGAGATGACCTGTCTTTCTCATTTTCTTTTCCTGACCAAGTCCTGGAAATGTGTTGTGCTCCGTGAAGAACGATCAGAAGACCACCACTGCATACACAGGGCTCACACAACTACTAGACCAAACTCACGTGTGAGTTATTAGCAAGAAGGAAAAGAGTGCTCAGAAAAAGGGAGACAGAGGGAGTTGGCTGCGCAAGGTGGGTCATCGCAGTGGAGATGCCTGCTTACAGGGTGTCTGTGCTACTTACATTTCCTCCCCCTGCAGAATGTTTGATGTTATCTCTGGAACCACACCGGGACTGAATATCGCTAAAATCGATCTTCTTGTTTAAAATCCTAACCTAAAAGGAATCGAAGGTAACTTACTACATAAAATACAGACACTCCATCGGGGTGCAGGACAAGGGAGCCAGAGTAATTTTGTCTCCTGCTGTGATTCCTTCTGTACTGAAGTGTGTGTGAGAAAGTTAGTCAGACCAATCTGTACACTTAGTATGTTACAACACAAATAAACACAGTACGTTGCTCTTTTTCTACCTCATGAACTGGTGGTGAAATGCAAAGAGGGATGCTTCAATACTGGGAAATATGAGGCAGCTTTTCTCCGAAAAGCTCAAAGAACTCCTTAGTTTCTCAGATGAGAGTTCTTGGAAAGCCTGTGCTAGACTCTTTAAAGCAATGGCCAGTGTTTCTGCTGAACTGGCCACAAGGAGAAGATGGAAACCCTCTGCTCAGTTCAGCACTCCAGCCTTTCATGCAGCAATCTGTGATCCAGCCAGCTCAGACAACAGTTGAAATCCTGAGGTATTTCACCCCTCCTGCATAGCCTTAACAGGGGCTACATTCATATAACAGACTGCTAATCGCAGGGTGTCCTTTTAAAAGTGACTGACAGCTCTTGACAAATAGATTAAACTGCAGTCAGAACTCAGTGCCTCTCTATTTAGGCAGTAAAAAGGTACAGTGCAGAGGTGGCCTGTTGCTTCATCTCACAACTCCAGAAACACCAAGCAGCTGCACACCAGCTGAAGTGCTCAGTGGGAGGAAGGAAGAACCCTGTGCAGTTTGTGCTTCCTGGAGTCAGTTCCCCAAACTGTCCCAGACTTTCTGTTAAATCTGAAACAAATTACTAATCTCCTCAGTGCCTCACCTCCCTGAACTAGGAAAAGCCAATCTGACCACCTTACCAGAATATCAGATTTTGCAGCTGTTGGCCCTTGCAGCAAGAATAATGCCACACTCAGATACCAAGAAGAAATTTTGAGGGGGCACTTCGTAGCTAATGCAAAGGATTTCTTCATGGCAAGCTGTTCTGTGGGTCCTCTTCATTACACATAAAGTAATTACTGTATCAGTCAAACCACTGGAATGGTAAGTGCTTCCTTGCTTAATTTGGTAAAGATCTGTGGTTATGGCATGCTCAGCAATAAGGGTGATGGGAGCACTAGAAAACACAACTAGTGGGTCACCTTCATCCCCTTAGAAGGGCATCTTTGCTAGGCAAGCTGATAGTTCTGTCTTTCTCCTGTCTGCTTAATCCATGAAAGTAAACCAATGTACACTGAAAAATGAAAGGAAATGCCTTTGGAGTTTTAGGTTTGTACTTTATCTCAATATACTATATGTTTAAAAAATGTACCCCAGTACTATACAAGACAGGTGTCACATCAGTTACTGAAACACACATCAGATGTGCGGTCAGATCTGGTTCCCAGAGAGCTTCAGGCCAGACAGGACTGGGCAAAACAGAAAGCCTCCCTAGCACTTTCTGAGCACATCTATCTCAGCGATGGGTCAGCAGCACCTCTCAGCAATGGCCACAGGGATGCACTTGCTCTGAAAAATGCTGACTTTGGTCATGGCAAGACCTCACTGCTGTGGACGGGGGGCCTGTAGCTTAAAAGGGAAGCCAAAGCAAGGCGGTAAATGGAGAGAGTGCCTTTGACAAAGTGCCTCAAGTTTGATTTGCACCCAAATATCTGACAGGTTATGAGTGTCATGAACCGAGCTAGCAGGTATGTAAAGGAACAATCAACACAACTATCCTCTCTATGGATGAAATGTGCCTCTGTGTAGCAGGATCAACAGGAACTCTATCTATCATTTATGTCCTGTGCTGAAGGCTGAAGTGAGACGAGTGATGCAGACGTGCTGTGCAGCTCACCTGGCACAGGTGGAAAGTACACTGATCCAGGTTTTCCCTAATTACTCTTTCTCCCTTTCCCGGAATACATCAGTATCCCTGTCCATGTTTAAGTCCTCAATAACTAAGCATTCTATGAACTAACGAAGCCTTGTTTCCTGCGGATTAATGCCTTATACCATTTAATCCGTTAATTTGTATTTTTAAGCAAGGCCTACTCCCTCCTGCCAGCAATACCCACCTAGCTTTCTCCCAGGTGGGTTAGTCTACGCAAATAGGAGCCAATGTCTCTGACTGCGGAGCAGGGACTGAGTTATCACTGCTGTTTCCCCAGTAACAGTGCTGAGCCTCTGTTTAGAATCTAATCAATAACTATCATCCCATCTTGGAGGGACAGCAGGTGTTTCTAACCTCTGCTCCCCTGTCAGCACTGGTTGAAATTGGCCAACAAGTTACAAATGAATTGAGGATAGCTAAGACTGCCAGCCAGACAGCATGACTCCATGATCTTTGTTTCCTTTGGTAAATCAGACTGTAAACATCAGAGGGAAATTACCAGAGAGGGACAGGCACCATTTAGGCTACAGAGAATCTCTGGCTTTCAAACAAAAAGGATAAACAAGCAGAACTATTTGAAGCTGGAATTCAGAAGGAAATGTGTAGCTATCAAAGCAGAGAGGCTCTGAAACTGCTTCTCAAGGGAACGGAGCTACAAAAAGAAAATGGTAAACTTTTATAATGGTGCTTGAAAGGAATTAAGTGATGCATTTGCCTGTGATAGAGACAGCACAAATACCATGACTCACCAGGAAGGCCTCCATGTTCCCAAATGTGTATGGACATCTTGTGTGGGGGTGGAGGTGTGGCAGGAATGCATGTATATGAACTTTCATTCTATATTCTAACATGCGTGCACAGTAAATGAAAGATCAAGCCTGCTCATGCTCTCATTCAGGAAAGGGAACACTGTAGTAATCTGTGTTAGAAAATTGAGTGCTTTCTCTTCACACTCCCTAAACATCCCAATAGGCTAATCTCCTTACAGACTCCCTCATAACACTTGCATGGACATGCCAGTCTGAGATGTGTAAACTCAATTCTACCAAACCGATGCTGGGTTGCTAAGACATGCTGCACAGGCTCTGGAAGGTAGTATTTTGGTTTGTCATTTCTCATATCCAGGTAAAGCAAAACCACAGTGGAAAACTTAAGCCTTACAGGCAATGCCGAGTTATTCCATAAAACCACACTGCCCAACAATCAGTCTGGTTTCTGTCTGAAGTCCTGGCAGAGTGGCAGACCTTCCCCCGCTCTATCTTCTGATGACACTTCCACAGTGGTCCGGGAGCAAAGCCCAGGGCAGATAGTGCTGTCTAGCACACAGCGTAGCCTTACAGACACCAACTGCTTCTAGACAGTCCCCAGAAGGAATTGGCCACTGCGCTCCAGTGCCTTCTGTGCTGTTTGAATGTTGTCCAACAAAGTATCAAGAGATAAGAGGCATTTATGGATTGCTGTGAGGAAAACAAGTGTTGAAGGTATTTTTCACCGAATTCATTTAGATGTGGCATATATTGACCTCTACTCGTAAGGGTGAACACTTCTAGTGGCCTGGCAGGTAATTTCAACAGGAAGCAGCTGTGGTCTGGTCTGCCCTACACCAGAAAGGATGTTTCTGGGTGAAGCTGGGCGACATGAGAAGCAACAGGCTGGTAATACCTGGGCATCACCCAGTG